CAAAATACTTGAAAGAACCAACCAGATACAAAAACGATGGGAAATAAACCACTTCACAGCCAATACTCTGCCCGCACCAAACAAGCTGATGTAGACAAACCCCGTAATCATCAGTGGCTACGTAGTGCTGGGTTAAAAGGTGAAATCGAAGGTTTTATTCTTGCTGAAGAGGATCAATGCTTGCTAACTAGAAATTATTAATCGCACATACTGAAAAATTGTGTTAGAACAAAATGTAGATTCTGTGATATATATATACAAAGCTCTTTGACCATCTTGTATCAGGTTGCGCGGTATTGGAACCCACTGAATATAAAACACAACATGACAGAGTGGGCCAATATCTTCACTGTAAATTCTGCAACATTTAAGGAAAGGAAACTGTAAGACATTGGTCTGAACTCTATCCAGATCAGGTTACGGTGATAGGACGTGTAACAATTTTATGGAACTTTACAATAACCAGAGACAGAACAATCACATCTAATCGCCCAGACATGGTGACTAGAGACCATAAAGACATAATGTGGCTCCTTATTGACATGGCAGTCCCTGCAGACTGTCATGTATCTTTGATACTCTCAAAATACAAGGATCTTGAAATCTCAAAAATGTGGCACACGAGGACATCAACAATGAGAGTATGTTGAGACCTCAGAATAGACTCATTGAAGGGATACCTAGTAGCCTTAAGGAAATACAAAGAATTCTTCTCACAAGTACAACCTACACCATACGAAGGGCTTTATCTATTTAAAATATGTATGATGTTTTTTGACATTAGGTCTCTGGTGGGGACCCGGAAAGAAATGAGTATATACTAGAAATCAGGTGAAATAAAATAATAAAAAATAATGTTTGGTTACTCGTTTCCGAACACATCCCTCTGCTAAGGTGATCAGCCAATCCCTGTTGAAGCTTATTTTCATGTGTTAAACTCGCACCAAGTTCAACTGTGTATTAGGCTGCAATTATGGTGAGCGAACCTTAGTTACCGTTTCTGGGAGAAGAGAGATAGAGCATAGACTGGTGTGTTAAACACTCGGTCACGATGACCTGTGGCTTCGCACTAGCCTAACCATCGACGACCTCTGAATAGTTCCGTTACTCAATTTCACTGATAAGTCAATATGCGGTATAGTTTCAAAGGACGATAACATCAAATTTACCTTCCTGAGAGATCAGCTATAATAAAATTTTGAATCTGTGTCTAAGCGTCGGAAAGCTAACATTCTAATCATTAGGTCTCGTACAGAGTAGTAAAAATAAGAAGCACAGGACTATTATATCTACTACTATTATTACGACTATTAACTTTTCGACCGGCATGCATACATGCGCATATATATATATATATATATATATATATATATATATATATATATATATATATGAGAATACATATATACCCTTGTGCAAATTAATTGAAACGAAACGATAATTCTGTTATTATTTAGTTTTTTTTTTGTATTTTTCTAATGAAACATGTTCCAGTGCACATGTTAGTACTTCCATTCCACGAGGTCGTTGTTTGGAGATTGACCACAGATACTCGATTGGATTCAAACCAGAAGAGTTTCGATAGTACTTTGATTTGCTCACTGTTAAGGCTTGGCAATGTGTCTGTGCAGCGTTACAATTTTCGTACGCTTCCTTGGAGTTATGTCCATCGCAGACAATGGCCGTAGGACAACTAATCGACAGTCGTGACAATAGTGTCTGGTGCGTGATGAAAATCTGTTGCAATCACGGATGACGCAATATTTTTCAAACTCAAATAAATTTCATCATACACCCGGAAAATAGATTCATATTACTGCACGCCACTGCAATAAAAAAAAATATTACAGGAAAAAATAGAAATCGAATACACCCTGTCATTCCAGTGAGTCTAAGGGTGTATTTGTAGCTGAGGCTTTGATGTAATTATTTTATTTTATTGAATTTTATTTTATTAAATTATTATTATTTATTAATTTTATTTAATTTTATTATAACTGAACAAATTCAAAATTTTATTTGATGTAAAAAATCAGTTTTGTGTCATAAACAGAAGCGAACATATAGTTTGTAAATAAAGTCGGCTGATGATTCACTGGATAATCCAAGAAAATCTGATTGAAAAAAAAACATATGTCAACTATTTTATTTAATATTTTTCTCTGTCATCTATGTACCATGGATATTCAGGAAGTAGACAATTATGGCTCTCCACAATTTCCCATCTTTTGTAGCTCTTAATAAATATTGTCTTTTTATTATCTCTGCTGAACCTGTTTTTGCTATCCTCAAAAGCTCACTAGAAAGGTTATACATTGTTTTGGCTTCCCGTTTTGCCTTCAGCCTGTTCCGTGAGTATAAACATTTCCAATACCCTTTTCCTCCCCATGTGACTGAGAAATTTCAACTGGCTCTTTACTGGTGCTAAGTATATTTGTTCTTGTTCTCATTTTCTCTAAAACTTTACTGATGGTTATATACAGCGTGTAACAGCAAAATTGCCCAATTTTCTGATTAAGCCCTGAAACGTTGTATTTTAGAAATGATTAAAGATATCTTTCTGGAATTCTCCCAGGTTTTTATAACACTGTAGGACTCTACTTAAAGCAATAAGAATGTATAGTTACTGACTAAGCTTAACAGAAGAATCGTGGTGAAATCAATCATAAGCGAAAATGATATGTTCATCATTAATTAATCATACGTAAGGCCTTGAATCTCATGAAGGTTTTCTGATAAAGTTCAGATATATATATATATATATATATATATATATATATATATATATATATATATATATATATATATATATATATATATATATATATATATATATATATATATATTATTCCAGGATAATTTTCCAATTTATTCTTGATGATCGCCCTCCTCTAACCTTTTAACTTTCTGTCTTGGAATAACTAGGTGCCTCAGAGGTTTCTCGTACGATTTGATTTTCAAGTCTTTTTTCTAACTGCCCTTTTGGACTGTCATAGCTGAAACGCCTTTCTCACGTGCCAAAAGACTTATGGATTGAGTTGGATATTTTATAGTTGACCCCTTTAGCTCTAAGTCGAAATGATGCTCCCTCTTCTTCTTCTAACCTCCTGATCCTGTTTTCCTCTCCTCTGTTCCCTCTTACTTTAAAATTATTCACCGTTGTCTTGATGGTTCTTGAATGGAATTTGGAGATGGAAGCCGGAGTATGACAGTTGGTATCATTACTGAAGTCCTGAATGATCTTTTACCTCTTACCATTGCTCATTTGGGAAGACAGTGCCTCTGACACAAAACACTTTTAACCTGCTCTCTTTTTAACTGCATAACTCAAAGGATTTTTCAGTGATTCTTACGACACATGGTGTCAAGATGGCTAATCGTCGTATCTGAAAACCTGGAAAAGAGAAATTCAGCTTACTGTTTTGTTGTAGATATTAAACATTTTGTGTTGTTGACAATTTTGGTGATACACGATTGGGACAATTTTGCTGTTACACCCGGTGTGTTTCATTAAACGGAACAAACAATGATACTTTTATAGGTTCTAATTATTCAGGTTTTTATAACGTTCTTACAATTATTCATTTATAAGGACGAAGAGAGCTTTAGTTAACAAGTATGAAAAAAGATTGATTGATCTGATACATATATATATATATATATATATATATATATATATATATATATATATATATATATATATATATATATATATATATATATAACGAAATATAGTCTTAATGTGTGCTATATTTATGGAATAAACTGCTCAATATCAGAGATAGAGCGTGTAAATATAAATATAAAAGTGAACATAGAAGTCAACACTTAGAGGCGACATTCTGTTTCATGCTATATGCAATCGTCAGATGGCATGACGATTGCATATAGCATGAAACAGACTGTCGCCTCTAAGTGTTGACTTCTATGTTCACTTTTATATATATATATATATATATATATATATATATATATATATATATATTGTGTATTTAGGCAGCATCTTTTCATTCATACGTTTCATTAAATAATATAGACAAGTGTGGTCTATTTATTTTATGTAAACTCTTTTCATAACATCTAATAAGTTTAATAACATTATAATTGAACGAAGAAAGAAATTCACAATATTGATCCAAATTTTTTAAATATAATCTCAGCTTTCGGCTTACATAATATGTAATATGTTGTAATTGACATCTTTGATAATGGCTTATGTAAGCCGAAAGCTTAGATTATATTAAAAAAATATGGATCAATATCGTGAATTTCATTCTTCGTTCAATTTTAATGTTATTAAACTTGTTAGACGTTATGAAAAGAGTTTACATAAAATAAATAGACAACACTTGTCTATATTATTTAATGAATGTATATGAATATATATATATATATATATATATATATATATATATATATATATATATATATATATATATATATATATATATATTTATTTTGTGTGTTGTATGTACAAAACGATAAAATATATATCCATTTACCAAGAACAATTTTAGGGAATAAAAAACTATGACAAAGTACCTCTGGAATCCAAGTCAGCTGCCACCAGATTTCTTGATTTCAAGAACTTTGAACCCAGCTGCTCCAGAACTTTAGACAAGGTCCAGTGTCACTATAAAGATTAATGCGAGAAGCTTTATTGTCTGTTGTACCAAGAGCTATATAAATCAATTGAAGATTAACCCCACGAATCTCTCGTTTTATTTTCCTTCGTGAAGATATTTTTCTTCCTTAATATAGCAACCGCCACGCCTTGAACCAGCGCTGCAATTACCAAGACAATCGATCTTCCACTGCTCTGAAATCAAGAACACCGCGTGGGCAGAGCTGGTGTGGATCGAAGCGACCAACAACCAGCTTCGATCATCGTCAATATTGACCAGAGTTAGCCCTGTGGTTTAAACGTCAGCCTAAGACCCTGAGGACTAGACCACTATACGTGGTTACACCACCCGATTTAAAAGGTGTTATACAATGCAATGGTTGGTAGTCAAAGATTAGCTGCATTTTTCTTCTTCTTCTCCTCCTTCTTCTCTTCCTCTTTCTCCTCCTTCTTATCCTCCTCCTCCTTCTTATCCTCCTCTTCCTCGTCGTCCTCCTCCTTCTTCTTCTTCCCCCCTCCCCCTCCTCCCTCCTCCTCCTTCTTCTTCTTCTTCTTCTTCTTCTTCTTCTTCTTCTTCTTCTTCTTCTCGTGTTTTCTTGCAATATTATTAACCAGAAACTACGACCCTCTAAGAGCATCATATATCTGTGGCGTAATGGTGAGCAAGCTTGTGTCGCGAGAACAATTACAACTGAGTAGTGAGTTCGATCCTCAATGGGTGCCCCCTAAATTCGGCCTTGTGTCACATCTAAGCTACACTTGGAAAATCACTTTATCTGTGACGACGAGGATTCGAAACTCCGGATTGAAAAGAAAAAATCCGCGATTGTAATGGTTTTTTGTACTCACCGCAACCAATGATTTAAGAAACGCACAATGTGGAGGACCAAAAAATAGTGTCAAAACAATTATTGGAATAATAGAAAAACAGTTGTTGGAACAGCAAGAACAACAACGAACACTACAAATAATGGAGTATCAGCCAAGGATGTTTGATCCAATATTGCAGAAATAAAATAAAACTAATACCACACTGGCACATTTTTATATAACCCTGAAGAAGATGTTACATATAGATTATATTATAGAATGTACGAAGAAATTTTCAAAAAAGATTGCTCGAGCTGACCTGATTAAAAAGGGTATGATTACTTTTAAGGAAATAAGGTCAATCAGAGCACGGAAAATAATTTAATTACATCTTACCCGAAAAAACAGGAAATATTACGTTTTTAACTGTGTTAATTTTGTCTAAGATTTTCAGTGAAAAAAAAACTCCCTAATTGTTGTAGAGTAATTTTCACAGTGGAAGCTTGTATTTCACTAAGTCGGTCCTAAATTAGGTTCGACGTACAAAACGTTAGAAACTTGAAATAATAGTTAATGACGCAGCAATCTAGTTGTGGGGCTCATACTTTAATGTCTGACATCGACTGACTCACACAACTCACTCAGCTTTACTGGCGACTGCTACTACTACTACGTATCTGTGGGAGAGTCTATTTACAATAGGAATAGGTACGTTTCGGTAAAACACTAATTCATACACTAGAACAGTACTTAAATATCACAAAAAAAAGATGCGGATATTGTCAAAACGAATGCGAAAAATTTAAAGTAAACGAACTATCTCCAGATATCCTTAGATGTTTTATTTTTTGCAAGGGTTAACTTTGAGTAAAGACGTCCTGATGGTGTGTAGCCTTGACCTGGTATGACGGTTTGCGTGCTTCAACGACCCCCAGAGCTATGTGGGCGGGGGCTTCGGCACTTAGCAGGTCCAACAAAGCTCAAGAGGTCTGTGGGGAAGACGAAAGACACACTCTGGTTGGGGATTGTGCAATAGGTTAACAACCCACTCACTTTAAAAAATAGCTTGTTACAGAAACCTCAGCGATAACTTTAAGCAACTGGATGGCCGAGGAAGAATCCTCCAATGTGGATCGTATGACGCGTGTTGGTGAAAATCCTCCCTGAAGGCAGTCGACACGACATGGGCCGAGCTGACGAGGATGGTCCAGAACTGCGTCCGCTAGACAAGTATTGTTGCTGTCCTACGTTCCACAAAGATTTAACAGGCATAATGAATGATAATGAAAACAAACGCAGAAATCAGTTCTCACGTACTAATAAAACTTGAGCAGGATCCATCATTAGCCTTACAGACAGTAGCAGAAGAATATCAAAGAATTCTAAATTTAAGATGTGATCCTGCAAAAAAATTGAAGAGAGTTATATTGTACACATGCAGAAAGTGCAACCCAGGAGCAAAAATGAATAAAAAATGACTGCAACGAACTCATGGTACGGCTGCTGAGGATTTCCTTTTAAGTCGGATTGCTCATTTAAAAAAAAGAAAAGAAAAGGAAAACTGGGTCTTAGACAAGGTCATTTCAAATTAAAGCAGTGACAAAACGTAAGTTGGGTTGTTGCTTTGTTTTATGGCATGTCAATCTCAGTGGGTCATTTAATGCCAACAAATTTTTTTAAATAGATTCATAGCGATAGTTTGGTAAAAGAAAAAGGTGTATATGTATACAATTTATTTGAACCATTTTTCAATTACTCATTTTTGAGTACAATCCAACTTTTAGGAAATGTACAATATTGCATGGTTTTCTTTTCGTAAAATGCTTTTTTAAAAATAAATACTCACTTGGTAATACTTTGTTTTCACTAGATCAAAATCTACCAACTCTAACAATATAGGTTTCACTGTAAATTTTAATTATTGCTGATAATAATTCTTCCTTCAAAAATTATTTCTGGTAAAAGTATTTCTGGTATTAAAACCTATTTTACACAAGTTTGGGTGTTAACTATTTGCCCATAGCTGGAACTCAAATAGGTGCTACCACTGCGGGTCAGGGTGGACCTGGGAACACCACCAATAAAAGGTGGTTCCACGCTCCTCAAAACCTCCTGATCAGAGGCCTTGCTGTTGGACGTAGTTTATCGTCTTACCCAGGACGCGGATGTAGTTTAACGTGACAAAATGTAAGATATTTTAATACAGAAAAAGTTGTACTGACAACTCAAAATCTGAATAAGGTCCAGAAGAGTTAATTTTTGAAGGTTAAGATGAATAAGGTTAAAGTAAAACATTAATTGGACGCATGTATTACTATAAGTAATGAAATATATTGGTGAACGTACATTACCAAAAACTAAAAAAAAAGTTGCACGAGACTAAATAGCGTTTAATATCTCGTGTGTCGGCAAAACCTCAAAAACCAAGGCATTCGTATTAAAAAATAATACGTTGAACTTATTAGACGAGGAGTGGATGGGCATGTTTTACAAAAAAAAAAAAAAAAAAAGGGAATTGCTCTTTCTGTAAAACAATTATGGCGAATGAAAGATTTTTAAAGGAGTTAAAAAAGAATTTTACTACAGTTATCACCAAAGGGATTTGAAAATGTGGCTGTTTTTAAACCTAAACGTAATGGACCTTTTGAAGTTGTGGAATCCATTAACAAAGAACGTAAGAGATTAAGAACTCGAGGTGTTATCCTACAGATTATTCTCCAATGTATGTAAAGAAGAAAAATAATAATATTCGTATATATGCAGATTTTGATACTGGATTAAATGAATGTCTAATACATCACACATATACGTTACCATCCCTTGAATATTTCTCTAAATTAAATGGAGGATAATTTTTTTTTTTTTGGATCTGACCTGTCAGATGCTTACTTACAAATTCAAGTAGATGAAAAATGCAAATAAATCTTAACAGTTAACACACACAGGGGTCTGTATAGTTTTAATAGACTACCATTCGGAATCAAAGTGACACCTAGCATTTTCCAGTAAATGGATACGTTGTCAGCTGGTTTAGGTTTCGTTGTTGCGTAATTGGATGACGTACTCATAAGGAGCATAACCAGACGTCAGCATTCAGAATACATCCAGCAAGAATGCCAGAGAAGAGAGGATTACGCGTTCAGGCTCACTGAGGAGAATTGTCAATTTTCTCAGGAGCAATATAAGATGGTTGGGACAAACAATTGATACAAATGCACGTAGAAAGGACCCGTCACGGACGAGCACTATTAAGAATATGCCTGCCCCGTGAAACGTTGCTACTTTACAATCGGGAACTTCGAACTTATATGAGCATTATAACAACAACAACAACAACAAAAAAACACAACAACAACAACAACAAGAATAATAATAATAATACTTGTGTTAGCCTAAACTTCAGATTCTGTGATAAATATCCAGAAACAACGGACTAGCTTATATCAGTTTGTATGATATTGGCACCCACTGAATATAAAACTCGGCGTGACAGAGTGGGCTAATATCTGCACTGGAAAATCTGCAACTTTTAGGGAAAAGAAACTGCAAGAAATTTGTATGAACTCCACCCAGAGTCAGTTACAGACATCGGACCTATAACAATTTTATTTACCTTTGCAATACACACAGGCAGAACAATCGAAGAGAATCACCCAGACATCGTGATCAGAGACCACAAAAACAAAATGTAGCCTTCTTATTGACATAGCAGTCCCTACAGACTGTAAGCCATCGTTTTGATTTGAAAAGGTCCCCATAGAATCTTTGAATTTCTGTAAAATGTGCGTGATCTTAGTTTTTTATTTTTATTTTTTATTTTTTTTACAAAACAGCTCAATTAAGACTAATATTTCACGAAGGACTTTTTCCTACGTAAAATATGTGATTTTTTTTTTAAGTTACTTAGTGGAAAATGTAATGATTTCATTTCTGACCTTAGGTCTCTCGCTTGGGCTCGGAATGAAATGAATGTACACAAGAAATCAAAACAAATAAAATAATAATAATAATAATAATAATAATAATAATAATAATAATAATAATAATAATAATAATGGAAATTTTAATTATATATACAACATTTGTTTTATTTATTAATTTTGAGGGGAAAGTTACTGTTCATATTCAAATATACTACCAGATCATTGCTAAATTTCATGCCCGATTTACATTGTTAATATAAAATGACTTGACAATAGCATTTGGACTGGTGAAGATTTCTGGTATTTTTTAGATTGAAACTTTTCATCGTTCATTTGCGAGTCAGATTTTGTTGAATGATAACATTCTGGCAACAAATAAATACCTTGAAGATGGAGGAGGAAAAATTGGACTTTCACCATATTATACTCTATGAATTTTCGAAAAGGGGTAAGCGTCGGAACTTCAAACATTCATAAGGTTTACTTGGATCGTGCTCCAGCCCTTCGGATGGTGAAAAATTGGTTTGGCAGATTTCGTCAGGGTGATTGTAATGGAAACGATCAACTACGATAAGAATTTGAAGATCGATATGATAAATCCCTTTCGACATTTGAAGAGATTTGGGTTCAAGTAAAACGTCTGATTTTGGCAAATCGAAAACGTTTCATTTTTCACAGCGCTAACACAAGCCTGCATGTTGCAAAGCAGACGTTGCAAGAGCTTGAAAAATTGAAATGGGAAAGCCTCCAGCAGCCATTATATTCTACTGACTTAACTCGTACGGATTTTTGTTTGCCGCGATCTCTAGAGAACAATTAAAATGACAAAAAAATGACTGTGTACAGTCAGTCGGAAACTACCTCACAACATTCTTCCGACAAAAATCAGGACGTTTCTACAAAACAACATCAACAAGCTAGCAGA